CGGACAGGGTGGACTTGAACTGCTCGTGGGCGGTGATCAGACCCTGAGGGGGGGAAAAACGGGTTTGGTTCTCATCTCAGTCCTCGTGTTCTAGATCGGACCAAACAGGCGTCTGGTTTCTTTAAATGTTTCTGGACACTTAAAGCTTGTCCTTTTCTGTCAGTTGATGTCTAAAAGTTGCTGTTTAAAACTCAGCAACGTTCCAGCACGCATTTAATCACAACCGAGAAAAGTCTGCTTCCCAAAAAAAGCTTTAAATGTTAATATTCAAAGACCTCAATCCGTCTGTGATTATTTATCATATTACAAGTGTCGATAATCAGGAGAAACTCCTGATTTTCCTGTGTGTTTTAGCAGGAAACAGTCAAATGTTGCATTTTTCTTCCTGCTCTGAAGATTTAAAACTAGGTGGCGCCATCTGGTGGAGAAATAAAAAATAATAAAGCCTGAAACCCTGAAGACCAAAAAGGAAAGTTTTAGCTGTTTTTAAGCTAATTTCTTTGTGGTTTGGAACAATCGTGCAGGTTTCTGCATTGTTCACATATTTTAGGCTAATTTAAGGAAGTCAGAATCCGCTGGGATTCCTTTTAAAAACAAACTAAAGGAAGTGCCTAAAAATGCTGAATAAAGTGCTCAGAGACCAGCGGCTTACCTGGATCTCCTCGATATTGTGAACGATGAACATGTCCTGCAGGTCCTCCATGGCTCCCTCCATCCAGTTATTGAAGGGCGCCGCCCTCTTGGCGTACTCCAGGTAGAGCTCGTCTATGGACTCCAGCTGCTTCTCCGTCCTCTGCGAGCAGCAAAAACCAAAACGAGAGGGCTTCAGCTCATTGAATCTGCAAAAACCACTCTCTCACATCAACTCATTTAATTTTCCTACATTCTTTTCTGTGTTTTTGTTTTTTTTGTTTGTTCTCTCTCTTTCGGTTCTTGTTCCTATGTGTATATGTGACCGTGTACATTGGAATATATGTTTAAAAAAAGGAAAAAAGGAAAAGGTAAACTGTATTTCTGTGACTGGAAATATTGTATTGTGTTTTTCCCGATAAAAACATATGAAAAAAATAAAAAAGTCTGCCAAAACGGAGCTGCGTATGTTGATCAGAGGCAGTTGGAGAGAGAAGGCTTTGGGGCCACCTCCCCAGAGCCTGGCGGCCTGGGGGGGGGCAGGGGGGGGGGAGCGTACCTCCAGGGAGTCCTTGCGGCTGTGGGTGAGCGCCCCCAGGACGTCCCACTGGTCGCAGATCTTCTGACAGCGGGCGTTGACGCTGGC